TTACTGAATTAGTTATGGTAATGAGTAACAATATCTGTACAGCTGGTATATTAATGAATTAGTTATGGTAATAAGTAACAATATCTGTACGGCTGGTATATTACTGAATCAGTTATGGTAATAAGTAACAATATCTGTACAGCTGGTATATTACTGAATCAGTTATGGTAATAAGTAACATTATCTGTACAGCTGGTATATTACTGAATTAGTTATGGTAATGAGTAACAATATCTGTACAGCTGGTATATTACTGAATTAGTTATGGTAATAAGTAACAATATCTGTACGGCTGGAATGTTACTGAATCAGTTATGGTAATAAGTAACAATATCTGTACGGCTGGTATATTACTGAATCAGTTGTGGTAATAAGTAACAATATCTGTACGGCTGGTATATTACTGAATCAGTTGTGGTAATAAGTAACAATATCTGTACGGCTGGTATATTACTGAATTAGTTGTGGTAATAAGTAACAATATCTGTACGGCTGGTATATTACTGAATCAGTTGTGGTAATAAGTAACAATATCTGTACGGCTGGTATATTAATGAATCAGTTATGGTAATAAGTAACAATATCTGTACGGCTGGTATATTAATGAATCAGTTGTGGTGAAAATATTGATTATTGTGATTTGGTTTATAAATCTTCCAGAGTATCTTTATTATAAAAGTAAAAGAGTTAAAATATGTTTAACACCTCTTACAGGAGACACTGTTATCCTTGATGGTTCCAAAGGATTACTGAAGAAAGTAGACTGACCGTGATCAGAATATGAGGCTTCTGATAATTCCTGAAAAAAATTAGACTGACCGTGATCAGACTGCGAGTCTTCCCATGATTCTTGAAGACAGTAGACTGATCATTATTAGACTGTGTGTCTTCCCATAATTCCTGAAGAAATTAGACTGACCGTGATCAGACTGTGAGTCTTCCCATGATTCTTGAAGACAGTAGACTGACCGTGATCAGACTGCGTGTCTTCCCATGATTCCTGAACAAATTAGACTAACTGTGATTAGAAATTGAGTCTTCTTATGATTTCTGGTGGATATTTTTTTTATTCTATGAAATTTGTCGACAGTCAAGAAATGGTGAACTGTTTTACCCTCAAACTATTTCCAACCAGCTTAATGTTACTGATTATCATATGCAAGCACCTCACTCAGTCATATCTACTGGTTACTAGATGCATACTGTTATCAAATCCCAGAAATATGGAAAATCAAGAAGTCTATGAAGCAATAGTAAAAGTCAGTATTGATGCTAGAAGTCATTCTTTTGGTTTCAGTTTCAATCTGCATTCGTTTGCTAGAGATTTATTTTTTGTGGTTGATGAGGAAATAAGATATTTATTTTCACTTTTACTAGAACATGAAAAATATTCAAAGTTCATGTTAAATTTTACTTAAAACATGAAAAATAAGAAAGACCAAAACCAGCTTCATCCTAAAAATCAATCTTAGTTCAGTTTTTACATTAGTCACACATACATATATAAATGAAATCAGCATAAATATTATATAAAAATAAAAATGTGTCGAGTATAAAAACTGATTTAGTTTTGGTCTTATTTTTTGTGTTTTAAGTAAAATGAAAAATTCCAAGTTCAATGTTCTTTTAATTAAAAGTGAAAATAAATATTTCTTTATCAGCTATAAAATACATTTAAAAAACATCTGTCGTAAAAGAAAACAGACAGAAAGACTGAGTTTTTGGGTGGAGGAGTTGAAACAAGAAATGGGACTGAAACCAACTTTTAGTGTTACCCATGTTTATAACGGTCCCTCAAAGATTTATGGTATCAATATCTTTAAGATGTGTGTTATCATCCATTGCGTTAATTATGTAGATCTGTACGTTACCTATGTTGTTTCGATCCTTGTTTTCCTGGGGTAGAAAGTACTGGAAATAAAGAAGCGTTGTAATGTTTGTTTAACTATAATTTTGTTTTTTTCTTATAATAACCATTTAATTCCGTGATGTAGTTGAATATGTTTTAATATTTTATTAATCTGTTTAGTAAAATTCTTGCATTGAGTGATTAGTCTTAGGTATTATTTAATAATAATAATAGCCAGAAAATAAGGATATTTTACTGCACTGATAGAGCATAATCATATGACTGTTATTTATAGGAAACCCAGTTTGATATGTATTTAAAAGTTTATTCCTTACGAATATAGAAACAATAATATATAAACACATATTTTGTATTATCTTATACACACTATCCTATTTTTTCTTTATTTCAAACTTCATATGTTTTCTCTAAGCCTATTTATTGATTTATTTAATAAACAAACAAGTGTAAATGTCACACCAAAGAAATAAAATAGAAACAGACTCATTTATTCTGAAACACCACT